CCAACTGCCCATTGACAGGTGAAAGGAATGCATGAGTGTGTTTTCCAGTCCAGGCTGCTCATATTGCATAAAGAGCAGCCCCTGGCACTAGGTGTGGGGAGATCTATAGGCATAACTGGGGCCTATGTCTGGACAGTGATTAGGGAATGATCCTACACCAAAAACATCTGGATCCATCAGAATCTGTGTATCAGACCTATGTTTGATGGGCCCCATGCTTGGTTTGGGGTAAATCATATGTAAAAATCATGTGGGTCCATGATAGGGTTGCCAGATACAACCTTGCTAATCTGGATGCCCAAATAAGGCTCCGACGCAGGCAGGGGGAAAGTGGCACCGGGCAAAGCAGAACAAGGCAGCCTCCACTCCCCCAAGGGTCATAAATTCAAGGCTGGGGAGTGTGGGAGTTGGAGTCCCCGAAAGGGACTTTGAACACACACAGTGTGTGTGCTCATCTTCCAATCGATGTGCTCGGGCACTGCTTGCTCCTGCCTGGCTCAGTCGGTGGCGCTCTGCTCACAGTGCCTTTCTAGGCTCCACGTGGGCTTGGGCGGGCACGGCAGATCACCAAGCAGCCGCCGCAGGAGGGGGCAAGGGCTGCACTCCGGTGCCAGCAGCAGGTAAAAGGGGCGGCCAGGTGGGGGCAGGGAAAGACAGGGGGAGGGGAGTCCTTCCACCTCTCCCCCTCCCATCCAAAATTATAACATAAAATATACAAAGGCTGGACATTTTAAAGGTTTTTATCTTTGCCTGCCAGATGGAAGACATTAGGCTAAAAAGGAGGACATGTCCTCCTTTTGCTGGACCTCTGGCAACTCTAGTCCATGAGGACCTGTATTTCGGATGCATGTTTTTCCGTGACTGAGAAGCCATGAGCTGAAGGATCTACCATTTCTATGTTTTAGTGTGTGGGCGGAGATGGGGCTTTTTTCAGGTATGAAAATTTTGTCTTATCCACATATTTTATCTCTTTTCCATTTGCTGTAGATTTATGGTCACTTTTGTCCTTACAGAGGCAAACTAGTGCTACTTTTTAAAAAACCACAACTCAAAAATGGTTTGTCTGGACCTCCCCAAAATTTGGCACAGAGCAAGAACAGACTTGCTACATCTGAGCCAAATTTGGTGCTGATCCAAGGTCCAGTTTCTTAGAATTTTGTATTTGGGACTCCCCTAACTCTTGATTTTGCTTGTAGAATGCTTTTTGCTGTGCTTGTGCAAAATATATGGGTACACCCCATTTATTGGATGGCAGGGAGCAGCCAGGTTTTCAAAATTTCAAAAAGAGTGGTCTTTTAGACCAGATGGGCGGGGTATAAATCAAATAAATATATCAAATAAATAAAATTGAATGCCTTTGGATATCTGCTCATAACAGCAGATTTCCAGAGCTCAACAAGGCTGTTGGAACAATGGCAACCTTGCTACTATTGTTGTTGTTGCTTAGTAATGTCTGACTCTTCGTGACCCCATGGACCAGAGCACGCCAGGCCCTCCTGTCCTCCACTGCCTCCCGGAGATTTCTATTTGCTACCATTACCTCTTTACTACTTGAGATGACTGCTTCCTAGGTCACAATGGAAAGGTTGATCCTGATGGTAGTTCAAAGCCATGTTTTTCAGCATCAAATTCCATCTCTGATATTGGGATATTTTTTTCTGTATCTCTTTGGGTTGTTGTAAGAACGAGTAAGACATAGTGAATAAATTACGGCATCTCTAACACTAGTAACGTGTTATATAAACTTTAACTTTAAAAACGCATTTTGCCTTTTTTTTGGAAGTATGGGTTACTTTTGTTTGAATTATTTTCAACTTTTAAATTTAATTTTACATAACTGCATGCCATTTTAAGATCACATAACTGTCCAAGAAGACAGAACAATAATTTCTAGATGGTCCTAATAAATAAAGAACAAATGAAGACTATGTGAGTAGTACAATTTATGTCCCAGAAAAGCTTGAAAATGCCATAGATTATCTTCAGTGTTGTTGTGGGTTTTTCGGGTTCCTTGGCCATGTTCTGAAGGTTGTTCTTCCTAATGTTTTGCCAGTCTCTGTGGCCGGCATCTTCAGAGGACAGGCGTAGCACACTGTGCTCTGGTGCAGTGGTTGGAGAGTTGAGTATTTATAGCTCTGGGTTCAGCTTTTGTCCTATTCAGGAGATGGGTTATAATGGTGATCAGTGTGTTTTTCTTGTGGGTCTATTGTTGTGATAAGAAGATTACCTGTCACTGTGCTTGATGGGTGTCATTAGCTGGTCTCTTGTGTGCAGTGATCACCAGTCCTTGTGGCTGGATAGAGTTTGTGACCTTTTGCAGGCTATATTTTTCCAGTGCTGGGAGCCAAGCTTTATTCAGTTTCAAACTTCCTTCTTTTTTGTTGAAACTCTGATGATGTTTGTGGATTTCAATGGCTTTCCTGTGCAGTCTAACATAATGATCGCTGGTGTTGTCCAGTACTTCACTATTTTGAAATAGAATTTCATGTCCAGTTTGTTTTAGGGCATCTTCAGCTACTGCCATATCTTCAGTGTCTTTCTGCACATGGATCCTCTGTAGAAGAAAACTGTACATTCTTGTTGGCAATGTTAGCATTCATGTAAATTCATAACTCAACAAATATATCAGAACTTTTCAGAATGAACACGACAAGCAGCCTTATATCCCAATTCAGCTTGCATGAATTTGCCATGTTCTGTTCTTACTACAGTGACATCTCCCCTGCTGCTCAGATAAACTATTTCTCATCAATACAGGGAGAAAGCGTAAAGCATCTCCCAGGTCACAAGACTGGAACTTATGCAAATCTGGGATATAGCAGGGTAGACTTATGATCTGAATTAACAAAGGTTTTTTTGAGAAAACCAAATGAACCTTGAGTAAGCTTGACCTCCCCAGATTAACTACGACCCTTTTGATAAATAGTAAGTCACACAACATACACAGAATAGCTTGACTTCACTGGAGCATAAACAGAAAGGGATGCACATGCCTTAAGTGTAGAGCAGTAGTTCAAGCTTTACACAATCAAGAAATAAGATATGGTAGGTGTAACACAACATAGAGTTAAGTACCTCTATGGTTTTGCTGGGCAACCAGTTGGCTTACTTGGCAGTAGACTGAAGCCTAGTGTAAAGTTTAAGGTGGTACAATGGAAAGGCAACTAAAATAATCAAGAAGTGGAGGATAATTTTCCTCATGAAGGACCACAGTAGCAAGGTTAATTTCAAAAACAGTTTTGAAGGAGAAGACCCAGAGGATATAAAATCTCCCTATATTGAAAATGAACAGGAAAAAATGATTTGGAAATGGTTTGCAGTCAAAATGGAAGACTATGGGATCATCTTCTAACCTGTTAGATAGCAATGTTAAGGCAAAGAAGAACAATTTTCACAGGATATGGAGGCCTATAAAGTTTTCTTGCCATGGGATACAGTGATTACGCATGGCATGCCATGGATTTCTCAAACATATAAGAGGTCATTATTGGATCTAATAAGGATTTAATGAGGCAGGATGTTTTGGTACCTACTTAGCTAGACAAACAGCCACAGATAGCTAGCGCATCACTTTGGAGACAGAGAAGTGGAAATGGGCTCCACTGTTATCTTGCCCTGATTGTTTACTTTTCTTGGAATAATTGGTTAGCCATTGTGAAAGAACAGAATATGAAGCTGCACTAATTTTAATCAGAAGAAATATGGAAATTCTAATACATCAAATTTTATGACATAAAAGTTATAGTTCTAAAAAGGCCCATAATAACATCCTCACTTTTAAAGCATATCTGGTGGAATATCAAACAAGATAGCGGCATATATTAGCAATATATATCTGGTTTCTATACTTCCCATTTCTATGAAAAAAGATGACTGTGACTAAATGTTGTCTGAATAGACAGCATATTTGTGACAGGCAAAGGAAAAAATCTTAAGTCTTTTAATTAATATTTACATATGATTAGGCTGAATTTTTTTGATCTATTATTTTAGGTAGAAACTCTTTGGAAAAACCTTAAGTTTCCATGCTGAAATATTTCTTCCAGCTCTCAACATACAGCTATAATGATGAGTGCTAATTGATTTATCCTGAAAATGTTCTGGAGCACCTTACAGTCTAACAATGTTTTCATCTAACCAGTTTATGAAGTTATTAATGTATTTCAGGAAGAAAATTCAGAGGAAAATCAAAACAGATGACAGTTTATTTACAACACATTACAGTACAGACTATCACACAATAGGAGGGAACATAGAAAGAATCTATTATTGATAGTAGATTATTCCAAATGTTACACTTTGTGATTTATAATACTAATATCACATTATTTCTGATTATTTGCTGAATGACATTATTAATATTTTTAGATGACAATATGTTTAGTACTTTTATATTCAGTTCATTGGTCCTACGAGTGGCAAATAATTTATCATTTGTACATCTTTCAAGTGGCTTTTATAAATGTGTTTTTGAATATCTATGCAAGATTTCAGATTGGTATTGGCAGTGCATTCACAGCAAAACGTCTTTTGACTCCTTACATTCAGGGATGCATATGTGAGGAGCAGAACACTATACTTTTCCTCCTTAACCTACAGTACATTCTTCCAAACCTAGCCAAAAAAGATCAGGTATTCCACCTGAATGCATAACCTTCATTACAGAAGAGAAACTAATACATTCTTACAGGTACATCTTAAATAAAATTGCTACTTTGCCTACTACACATGTCATTTTGAACATGTGTAGTTAAGATTGCATATCTGTCCACACCAACTTGGAATAAGTTCCACTGAACTCAATGAAATTTCCTTCTGAATAGATATGTCCAAGACCCTACTGTTGGGCTTTTTGCCTATATATAGGATTGCTGTATGTAACAGGTGACAAGAAACATACATTATAAATGCATCAGGCAAAAACAAAAGAAAAAAGAAGACAAAAACATTGCAGCCCCTTATAGACTATTAGATTTTAATAGTCTATAAGACTATGAGATTTCATGGATAAGTCCACTTCCTCGGACATAAGAGTGGGACTTCATGGCAAATATAAATACATTATAAAGTGACCTTCATGCTGGTATTTCAGTATATTATTGGGCACCGTATACAGTAGTTATACACACATCAGCATTCTGCTTTTTCTTGAATCCAAGTTTTCAGTTTATTTAGTGTGTAATCTAAGGGCTGCATGAAGCACTGTACATACCACTTCACCAGTGAGAAGCAAGGAAGAATGATCAAAAGTTATTTCTGCTACAGCTCCTTCAGTTCCCCAGCCCGTATGGTCAATGGCCATACTGCCTAGGGAATTCTGGGTGCTTTAGTCCAAAATGTGGGTTTTCCAAGTGCTGTGTGGGCCGAACGAGTGTTGCAGGTCCAAGCAGTACACCCTGAAAACATATTAGGTAAGATCCACTGAATCCTAGAAGAAAGAAAGAGCCCTGAGAATGGCCAGAACTATAACCCTCATGGCTGCCACTGCAATCCACCCTACTAGGGTTAATGGCTGGAAAAAAATTGCTTCCAGTTCCCACCCTTGGGCACTGAATCTGGTTGTTGCTCTGTCATGGATTCCTTCTCTCATCACCACTACAGAATTGCTCTGCCAATTGATATAAACTAGGGAAAAGCGAAATGGAAGGTGACCATGAAAGCACAGCTTTTTCCAGAGATTCCATGCTGGTCTGATTCAGTACATACACAAAAAGGCCAGAAGCAGTGGGCTACCACTTTCCAGTTAGAAATGAAACTCCCTTAAGGATGCTTGTTTTTCCTACTATGAGGATGCATAGCTCTGTAAGTTACTAATTAGCCAGCTTTTGTTGGGTGACTGGTAATTAGGAGAGACGCATGGGATTCATTTACCCATTGATTGTGCACACACAGAAATTTGGGGGGGAAATGATAGAAGAATAATGTTCCATCATTTTCTAATTGCAAAGCTGGTATATCTGTTTTGGTTTTTTTTTGTCATAATATGAACAGGCAGGGTGCCCAATTGGATTAATTCCTATTGCTAGGGGATTGCTGGGGAAAATGTAGCCCTCCTGACATTGTTTAGCTACAGATCTCATCATCTCTCCATCAAGGTGTGTTCTGGCAAATGTGGATGAGAGTTGCAGCCTAACAACATCCAAAGGGCCACATCTTCCTGCCTTTGCTGCTGTGGTTTTTCCCCTCTAATTTTCACTGTACAGTAGAAGTTGATATCTCTTGGCTAAACCCAACATTATTCATACTTAAAGGTGAGTCCATTGAATGAATAGGACTTCTTAATCAGAGTTAATTGGAGTTCAGTTGATTCCAATGGGTCTAATCTATTTAAGGCTAGTAGAAGACTTAGCCCTACATTTGATGTACAGTGGTGCCTTGCAAGATGAAAGTTAACTCGTTCCGCGAGTAGTGCTGTCTTGTGAAATTTTCATCTGGCGAAAAGCGGTTTCCCATAGGAATGCACTGCAATGCATTGCTATGGGAGCCTTGCAAGACAAATGAATTATTTTCGTCTTGCGAGGCATTGGTCTTGTGGGAAAAAATTGTCTATAGAAGCACGTCTATAGAAGAAGTCATCTTGTGAGGCACCACAGCAATCGCAAAAACCATTCGTCTTGCAGGTTTTTTGTCCCATGAGGTGTTTGTCTTGCGAGGCACCACTGTGTTTTGTATCTTCTGCTTAAACAACACGGCAGCAACATTTCTCAACTACATGATGAACACATTAAGACTATTTGTAAAACAGTTTATCAGGCACTGAAAAAACTTCTAGGTGGATCACAGTTTATGGAAACATGTAATGTATGGTATAAATATGTGTTGATGCAACCTTATGACAATACAAATATAAAGAGAACCATTACAGCATAAAAATGCTGTCTTATGTATAAAGAGAAGTTTCAGCATTTTAACCAAAGAGTAAATCTACCAGCAGTACAAAACCATTTTTGAAACATTCTGTGTGGTTGTGGTCTAATCATTTTCTCAGGACAGTCAAACTGTGGTGTAGCTATAGCAATCCCACCACTGTTGTGTTTGCATCAGAATCAGAAACTGGAAAAACAACTTTTTGGACTATAGCTCCCATTGCCTCCTGTCAACATGGCCAGTGACTGCTACTGGTGGGAGATTCTGAGAGCTGTAGTCCAAAAAGTTAACTCTTTAAAGCTCTGCTCAGACCACCTGTACCACTCCTAAGTAATGCATCTTTAAAGAAACAAACTTGTGAAAGTTTGTTCTCAGTTGGCTGAGTTGCCCAGCCTTTCTTTCATTGAGGTAATTCACATTTACTTCTATATAAAATCACTTTCCCTGCATTTAGTCCATCAAAATGGGCCCCACTGGTCACTCACAATTCTAAAAAGTACATAGTATTTCTTTTACTTATTAGATCTTGGCTATCTTTTTTTCTCATGCTCATCTGTTGGAAGAGCTGGTACTTTCATCATTTCAATTTGCCATGCCCTCATTTCTTCCCTCTTCATTTTGGAGCTGCTTCAAATAAGAAGTCTTAAAACAACAATAACAAAACAACATATAAATATCACATTCATGGAGGAAAAAGTGTGCTGTCCCTCATCTTGTTACACATAACTTGATGTGCTCTTTCCTACCTGGAAATATTAACCAACAGCAAAGAAGCCTGAGCTAACACCCTTTTATATAAGAATATGTGTTTTTCAGGGTGGTTCTAAGTAATTGTCACATTTCATTAATTAAACTCTGAACAGGAGCCTGTACAGAAAACCTCAGCCATAGCACAAATCAGTTCTGGATACAATCAGTAAGTGTAGGTGTTCCTCAGTTTTGACCAAGCATGCAAAGCACATAAATGAAAAGTTCACAATTCAGCAGTGCAATATCATGCGAAGTTGGAAGCTATTCCATGCTCTGGCTCCTTGATCGACTGAAAGTTCATGGATGCCACTTATCTGCTCCATTTTTACCCTTAAAAAATTAGGTGGCCATGGGCTACAACTCTCCAGAAGACAGATTTGCTCATGACAGCTTTCCAACATGTGGATGGTGGATGGGAGCATAGTGGAATAAGACATGTCTTTCACATGTGGCAATCTACATCCAATTGCATGGTTTTTCCTACATTTAAAAATGATCTGTGTATAGGAAATGCATTGTATTTCAAGCTGCTCTAAAATTAACGATGTTAGCCATAGCACAAAACACCCATTACCAATGTATTTCCCAGTAGTATTTGAAAGTAAGCTCCTGGTTATTATATGTATATTTAAATGTAAACATACAAGATTGATAAGTAGTTTAATATCACAGTTATAAAAACTGCCCCAGTAATACTTCATTTAAGTGCACTGAAAACAGAACAGCCTTCCTCTTCTTTTTGATATCTCTCAAATTTTCATGGGCATGATCCACCCCAAATTAATCTCTTTCAATATCCTTTTGATTTCACTTAGATGTGGGCCTGAAAGCCTCCTGTTCAAATGTACTGGCATTCCAAATGCTTAACTCTGGATTACATCATTGGAAGAAGGAGTAAAATTTGGACCTACATTGTTCACTGTGCGTCTTCTGTCGTTTTAGCCGGAGTATGTGATAACCAAGTTGATTTTGTGAAAGTTTGTTCTCAGTTGGATAAGAGAAAAAGCTGCAGGCTCCTAGCCTTCCTATATGGGTACATCAGCCCTCAGATGCAGATTACCCATTTCAGAGAGAGGGCTTTTGGAGGAGGGAAGGGGGAAATACACTAGTGTGGTATGGGAGAAATGGAAAGAGGGTGTAAGAAGGACTAATTTAGAAGCATGGGAGGTGAAGAAAAGGCAAATGCTTTGGAAGAATTTGTTGTGTCCTGCATGTTGGCCCTGTTGTGACTGATTCTGTAATTAAAATTCTAATCAGGATTGACAACAGCCAATTAAGTGTCAGAAGAACAATCTGATAGACACGTCTTCTGTTTCTGTGGGCATCTTCAAATAAGTTTCATCTGTCAATCTGACTGTTAGTGATTGCTATTTCCTGCTCAAAACTGCCTGAATTAAAATCAAGCCTTCTTTCAAAAGTCACTCAGGATGTGTACAGGATATTGGATTCCCCTTCTGTGGCCATGATCAATAGTACATTTATGAATCTGGAATAATCTAGGATCCTTGGACATGGTTACCTACTACCTTTTCAACCGGAAAGGATTGTGGTCCAATTGAACAGCTAATTCAATGCTGCTATATCTCCCTAGAGTTGTAAGGTGTAGTAGATCCCTAATTTTACAACAAATCTGTCTCTTTTATGGGTGGAAGGCTATCTGTGGGCATGCTAGCAGACTGTTCTTTGCTTTCAGTGCTCCTTCCTAGTCATACAGACGATAACACCTCATTAGTTGGGTCTCTTCCTTTCTTATCATCACCTCTCTCGAGGTCAATGACATGGACCGCTGCAGGCTTGAGGAGCAAATCATCCGTCTCCACCTGGCTCCTGGTGTCTTCTACTTCTATGTATTTCCCTTTGGACTGCTGGCTTGTCTTATTAAAGGCTTCTTTGAGCCGGCGCTTGAGCTCAGCGTCAGGACAATAGACGTATTCATAGAGCGTCCCTGCGAGAACTGCTCCTATAATTGGGCCCACCCAATATATCTGTACAAAAGGAGGATAGAGAAAGATACAATGAAGCATTGATTAAGAGCTGCAGTTCAGAGAAATGGCCTTCTTTGCACCTTACCTGAAATGCCATATTTGATGCCTTCTTCTCTGTTATCCCGATGCTGTTGCAAGGAAATATAAAACTTAACAACCCACCTGGCTCAGCCTTCTTGCCTGGGTAAATGGCACATTCGGCAAACACACATTTACAGCAATGCATCACTGGTTAATTATATGTACATATATAGTATGTACAGCTGATTCACATTAAGACTAAGTAACAATACATATCTGCCTTAAGAGACTCTGTTGCCTAGATCTGCAACTAAAATGTAACCCTCATCTTTGTGTTCTTTTAGATAGGGCATTTGTGCTAACTCATTTTGTCCCCCTTTGTTCTGGAAAAGTGCAGGATATCTGTGATTCAAGTCCACAATCTGTTGGATTTATTGCAACCTACATATTTTTTATTTTTTATTTATTAAATTTATACCCCACCCATCTAGACACATGTCTACTCTGGGCGGCTGCTGCTTTTGAGACGTTTTGGTTCGAAGACACATTTCTGGACTGGAGTGAATGTCAGTCAACTCAGTAGCGGTCAATTGTCTCTTCCCTGCCTCAGATTCCTTTTCTCACCTTTTTTTAAGGTTCCGTCAGTGTTAGCAACGGATTTGGTCAGAAATGGACAGTTAGAGCTATATAACAACTATCAGCTATGTAACCGGTCATGAAGCAGGTTAACCAGTTAAGCTCAGCAATGTAACTAGCTAATTTTCTACACGTTATGATGTTTGTTTTTATCTACGAAGAACTGTAAGTAAATGGGAACTTTTTATTTTTTCTTATTACCAGAGTCTTTGAATAAATATATTGAGATAATAAGTCCCACTTGAGGTAAACTATCAAATAAGAGGTGGTCTACTAAGGGAGATCTGAAGCCAATCTGCTCTGTAAGTTCCTGACTGAATCATTTTATCTGCTGTGTAAGTAGAGGAAGTTTATTTACTTTTAAAGCCACACTAAATTCCTCACACATTTGCTCCTCCTCAAAAAGTGAAGCCATTAAATTATCTTGAAAATGCAGGGTGGTGATACAGTCACACACACTCCCCAGGCTTGGGTCCAGCATTGAGAAGATAGAGTGCAGTGATACAACTTGGAACAAAATAAAACAAGTACTTTGGGAGGAACAAAATTAACAATTCACAGAAAAAGAACCTGTACGTAACTGACAAAGGACAAGTGGATATCTGTGTTTATATGTATGTTCTCCATTTAAGATCAATACTTAATAAGTAACTTAAAGGGGTACAAGCAGCCCATCTGGAGGAGCCCTAAGAATTCCCCTGGAGAGTTCAGGTTAATTCACCACATATCCTATCTGATGAGGAAATATGTCAATGATTGCTATTCCTTTGGAGTACAATATAGTGCTCTGCACATGTTTTGACCCTGTGGTAGCCTTGGTCAAAAGATGTCCTCGGGCATTCCTTGCCAAATGTAACATCCAGTTGGCCTTTCAGTTGCTGCCAATCCACCTGGAGGATTTTTCATTGCTTGGATTCAAATTCTAGGGCAGCCAGTATGTTGACAAAGCTATCATGCCCATGAGTTGCTCCTCCTCTTGTGTGGCATTTGAGACGTTCAGCACATCCCCAGAGTGAGTGATTAAGTCCAGGGCTAAGATGGAGTTAGTCACATTATTTTGATAACTTCCTTTTTTTATTGGGGGTGGCGGCCCCAACTATGCTAAACTCTTGAAGATATCCTAGGAATTGGCAATGGAGATGGGTGTCCCACTCACAGAGGGTAAGACGGAGGGCCCAGCAACCTTGACATCGAACTTGACATCCAGGCAGGTGTCACTCCTCTTGGGTTCTAGAGCAGTGGTTCTTAACCTTTGTTACTCGGATGTTTTTGAACTGCAACTCCCAGAAACCCCAGCCAGCACAGTTGGTGGTGAGGGCTTCTGGGAGCTGCAGTCCAAAATTCCTGAGTAACACAAGGGTAAGAACCAGTGTTCTAGAGGAAAACTTGCTGACTCTCAGGGAGCTCATAGCAGCCTTGCTCCCTTGGGAAAAGTGCACATTGGGCCACCTTCCTTTTGCATGCAGGGTATTAGCTCCAGGTGAGGTTTTCTGTGCCAGGCTAGCTAGGGCCATGCCAGGGGTTTCAGCACCACACCATCGTATCAGGATCACGAAAAGCATGACGAAGGACCTACTGGTATGGCTAGCCTTCTTGGCAGACTTTAATGTGAGTGCAATCTGGAAGCAGCCTTGGGAGGCAGGGAGACCTTTTAGGTTCAATTGGACACAGAGGGGTGTGTGGGTTTCGAGGTTCACTATGTGGTGTGGTGGTGTGCACAGAGTTTACCCCCGAAATGGGTGGGAACCATTATCCTCAGGGATTTGACCTTCTTTGAACTCTTTCCCATTGTGGTGGCAGTTACCCTTTGGTGGAATGAATTGAGTAACAAACAAGTTAAGTTCTAGTGCAGCAACCAGGCAGTGGTCGCAGTTGTTAACAGATAGTCCTCTAGGTCTGAGGGTTTTCCCCCTGTAGCTTACAATACCCAGATTATTTATTTATTTTCCTCCCTGACTGTTTAACCATTGACTTGGACAAATAGTTCTTCAGAAATTGTAAGCTTTCATATTTTGTGCATTTATAGTTTGTTCACACCTGTAGATCTTGGATACATTTTCACATGGAGGGTAGCTCCTTCTTTTTTAAAAAAAAATATTTGTGACTTTCTGGAATGCCATGTCCTTCCACTCCCATATTGTATCTGCACTCCCAAAAATAGATCCCATCTTATACCAAGAACTCTTTGCTAAATGCAGGAAAATGCATATTCCCTTGAATTTTGATTGCATGCCCACCAGTTACCTGTCTCAGCAGTGACCTTAAGCTGTAAAGCCTGTTAAAGTTTCTTTAATTGCAGATTTTCTACTTAGGGGAGAGGATTGGACTAGATGATGCCCAGGGGTTCCCTTCCAGTTCCACAGTTCTATGATTCTACGACTGTAATTCTAATGACGTGTACTATTGTAACTCCTTTCCCCAAAAACTTTAAATTGGTGAGCAATTCAGAACAGAGCTTGGAAATATAACTATTTTGGACTACATTCCATAGAATCTTCAAGTTAGTACAATACTAGTTGGAGGACTCCAGGATGTGTAGTCCAAATATTAACATTTCCAAGTTTTACAGGAACCCTCATTGTTCCCAGCAATGTTGGAAAGAAGCACTTCCAACTTCAGAGGTCTCCTTCTCATAGAATCCCTGAAACCAAAACAGACATTAGAAATAGCCCATGTAGGGTGAGCATATGTCCTCCTTTATGGAGGACAGTCCTCTGTTTGAGGAGCTATCTTCCTTTTTGGTGACATTTAAATGATCACCCTAACCCTACATCCCCCCCTAAGCAGGGAAAGTAGAGAATTTCATTAGACAACCATCTCTCATTGTTTAAGCCAGTGGTTCTCAACCTTGGGTCCCCAGATGTTCTTGCAGTAAAAATCCCAGAATCCTTTACCTTCCTGCTGGCCAGGATTTCTGGGGGTTATAGTCCAAGAAAATCTGGAGACCCAAGTTTGGGAACCATTGGTTTAAGTAAAATAGGAAGGATCATTTTATAGGTTAAGACACAAATTGTACACATTGTTGTAAGTACTAATTCATGGCAGGAAGAAAATGGCATGGCATGTGAATTCTGCATGAGCTTCAGACAGGACGTGAGTCCCAGGAACAGAATTCTGGAAGTGCCATTCAGATCATTTTTCTGACGTAACTGATTATTACCTAGCTAGCTATTTCAACAAAACTACATACAGTGACCTCTGTTTATTTTTGTTCTGTAGGTATTCATTTTCAGTAAGCTGCAGAATTTCAAAGCACAGGGCATTCTTAAACATTATGCCATATTTGTCACCACAGGGGACTTGGTGGCACTGTGGGTTAAACCACAGAAGCCTCTGTGCTACAAGGTCAGAAGACCAGCAGTCATAAGATTGAATCCACACGACAGAGTGAGCTCCCGTCGCTTGTCCCAGCTCCTGCCAACCTAGCAGTTTGAAAGCATGTAAATGAGAGTAGATAAATAGGTACCACCTCGGTGGGAAGGTAACGGTGTTCTATGTCTAGTCGCGCTGGCCATGTGACCAGAGAAACTGTATACGGACAAATGCTGGCTCTACGGCTTGGAGACAGGGATGAGCACCGTGCCCTAGAGTTGGATGCAACTGGACTAAATGTCAAGGGGAACCTTTTCCTTTACCTTTTTATGCCATATTTATTCGTTTGATTTGTATTCCATCTTTCTGTCTTGGCTGTGTCCCAAGGTGGTTATTTGAGCACAACATTGTGCAATATGGTGAGCAGCAATATATTCCCACTTAAATTATAGCAATAATGTACAATTTTGATATTTACTTATATTTATTTAAATTAGCATAGGCAAGTTTGACTCAAAACTGTCCTTTTTCATGAAGAATGTCTTCCTTTTTGGTGATCTTTGTCTTCCATTTTGATGATGGAGAAGCGGCTGCTCTAAGCCCCTGACTTGTTTCTGATTCACTGCAAAATCACCGCTATTAAACAGCTGCAGTACAATCCTATACATGACTGTTGAGAAGGAAGCTTCATTAAATTAAAGAGTGATTAATACAAGGTGAATTGGTGTCAGATTTCAGCTTTAATACTTTGATTCATGTGGGGCACTACAATCCAGTTTGACTGGATAAACACAAGAACAGAAAAAATATTTCTAATAATAGGCTTGTGACAGGCCCATTTAATCATTCCCTGTAAGATTAAATACTTTTTATAAAGATAATTTTTAAAAGTAATTAAAAATATCAGTTCTTGATTAAAGAGGAGGTAACCAAATGTAACTACTTACCCAGTGATGGTCCCATTTTCCCATGATAACTGCAGGTCCAAATGACCTAGCCGGATTCATGCTAGCACCTGTGTAGCTGATCTGCAGTTTTTAAAAAATTGCAACCATTTAGCACTTATAATCCATGTGATAGAATCATCTTGTTGCTGTCTCTGCTACAAATCTTAGACTAGTCTCTCATCTATGTTCTCCTGCCACATATTCCAATTCCTCCACCTTTCTTTTGCCTCTATTTTGGCACCTAAAAGGACCAGAAGGTTCCTCAGTGTCTTAGATTTAGCTCAGAGGATTCCAGTTACAGTACTAAATTCTGTCCCAGGGAGGAGAAAACAGAACACCATCCCTGGACTACAGAAGCTAGAATATGAGACTGCAATTAGGTCCTTTCCAAGGCTGAGAACGTGTCTCCAATTTGGTCATACTACTTGGAACATACTATCATACTACTTGGAACAAGACAATAAACTCTGTGGTAGAGCCATTGATTAATATCATGCCATAACCTCTCACAATGTTCTGAGATAACAGCAGTAAAACTCATGCTATCTGCCGTACTACCAATGGGGGAATAGTCTGAGTGAACAGGAGAAAGGCTGAAGACAGAGAAGACTTACTCTAATTACAGGTCTTCAGTGTTTACTTTTATTGTTGTCTGCCTCCTCAGGAGGACAGATAAAGGAATGAGATGTACTGTAATCCAACAAGTTTAGATTGAGGACTCAGCACCCTGGAACTCTACTTAAGCCAGATTTGGGAAGGTTACTTTTTGGGATGCTGAGGAAGTGTAGTTGAAAACAAGCTATGTTCCCACACTCCGATTTCATCCAGGCTGCTTCCACCCTCCAAGTGTTGCAAGACTAACAGCAAACTAGAAGTGAAGGTTAGCTTCTGAGCATTGGAGGGGTGGAATCTGTTAATATCCTTTTGTTCTGAAAATGCTACATGTTAAAATCTTGATTATTCCATTATGCCATTGAAAGTATCCTATTTTCATTGAACAGATTTTTTAAATTCTTATTTGCATTCTATGTTTTTAGAAATGCTTCCCCTCCTCCTGGTTATGATGTATTTTAACAAGTTACAGCTTATTGTAAATAACACTTTGAGTACAATCTGCTATGTAAAATTGACATATTGTACAAATAAACTGAACTGAACTAAACTAAACTAAACTGTTCATATATTCTGGCCTTTAAAACACAACAAGCCAGGTTAATAATGTCTTCATCACTATTAATGCACAATTCATCACATTTAGATCTTCAAATCAGAGCTTTTATTATTATTATTATTATTATTCTCCCCACCCGCCATATGACTCACTGTAAAAACCTTCATCATCATAACAGTGCTAACGCCGAGGAGAGAGAATGGAAAGTAGTATTTCTAGAATTAATCATGATCAGTGCCATACTGTTTGGGGAATTATGGGCATTATGGATCTAAAAAGGTAATTTTTTTCAAGTTTTATTTTGAGGAAATATGGATACAGATGTATTAATTTATGGGCAGAATCCTGTGGTGCTTTACTGTGCACTTAAATGTAATGGTGCAAGCATTTTTCTCTGTTTCCCAGGTTGCCTGTTATGTGAACAGCCACACAACTGATTGCACAGCCACAGGATGACTGGGTGTATGATGGACACTCCAGGAAGTAGCTACTACCACTTGTACAATTTTCCTTGTGTGATTATACAAGCTATCAGAATGGTGGCCAATATATTTGCTGTAGGAAATATGAATATTTCCAGTACTCCATGTAGTAAATCTGTGAGATAGGACAGGAAAATTAGAGCCCCTGAAGACAATGATTTGGACCAAATAAATCCCAAAGTGCTTGGGTGTATACTATCCTTTAAAATAAACTGTACTAATCATTTACATGGCTGTGCATGATGGGCAATGTAAAAGCACTTACAACTAGATAGCCATCAAAGATTATGGAAAAAATTGGGAACTTACAGCAAACAGATGTCCTATTGCCACCGATAATCCAATTGCTAATGCCACTGAACCTGTGACATCGTTTCGCTTAGAATCACAACTGGCAAAAATAGTGAAAACCAGTTGGAAAGTAATTATCAACTCCACCAGTAGTCCATGACCAGCTGTCAGATCTGAATGTATCTAGAAAAAGGAAACACACCAGAGGTCCAGGTAGCATAAATAAAGTGTGAACTTCCCTTGTGCATGAAAACACTGTTTCTTCCAGACCAATTAAAGCCACTTCAAACTCAATTAGTCAGTAGCACATATTTGAAAAGGACAAAGAGTGGGGAGTAAGCTGATGTATGACCTTTTAAATAACAGTCCCACCTGGTCAGGACAAAATTGGGAAACATTTTTGTTCTGGTTTTTGTCCAGAAAACGGTGCTGAGCGACTCCTGTTCAACTACATTAGTCATTGGCCTCGGCATTTTGTCCCTTTTATGTTTAATTACTACAGCCTAAATCAATTTACTAGTCCCAGCTAGAGTTGACCTATTGAATCAACTGCTGAATGGAACATCCATAATATATAAATCCATCTGATTTAATGGATCTACTCTAGTTGGAACTAGCAATTGAACTGAAGGTTATTTCAGGGGTATGGAATTTTTAATGTTTTGACCTGAAATTCCCATCAGCTCTAAGAGAATGGCCAGTAGTATGAGATTGTAAAATATGTGCACCAAAACATCTGGAAAGCCAGAGCATCCCACATCTGCTCTATTTCAATCCTCCATGTGATTGTTTCTGAGATTTTGTGCCATCTCAAAATTCCATTAAATTCTATGGCTGTTGAAGTCTCCAATACTTACCTACAGTCTGTAGTGGACTGGATGGGAGCAAACAATGAAAGCTTTGTCCATACAAGACAGAAGTGCTTCTGCTTAATAGAACTACTCTAGGTGATAGCACTCCCCCTGAAAATTCAGGCTTAAAGCCAGATAACTGATTTTGCATTCAAATGCCCAGGTGGTTGGAATAGCTGTGCTATTCCCAAGAGAGTCAGCTGTTAAATTTCTGAAAGCTACACATACACAGACACACTGGGTTAAATCCAATTATTAATCCTTACTAGAGTAGGCCCACTGAATGAATGAGATTTGTTTGGTGAAGTCTAGTATAAGTCCCTTGTTTCACTAAGTGTTTTCTATGTAGGTCTAACAACTGGATTTAGCTCAGTGGATTATTACAATTTGCTCTACATGAGGATGACTGGAAAATTCAGCTGGTTCAGCATTTAAGCAAATGATCAGAGCCAGTTATCACAAACTTACAACTCCCTTATTAAAACATTTCATTGACTTCCAATTCATTTCCAGTCTCAAGTAGCTAAGGATTATGTACATAAATGATTCTTCACCCATTTCAGCCAAGCCACTCTTTGGAATTTGGTGGAAAGGATCTTCTGAATATGCCATCAACATATCAGCTGTGTTTGAGTGGGAAATAAGTAATACCTGTCTTTAATAATAATAATAATTTATTGTCATTGTAAGTATATACACAGTATACCCATACAACCTGTCTTGATGGCTATGCCAAGATTTTGATTGGTTCTTTGATCATCTTCTGTCATTATGTGGTCTGTCAAATTGCTGCTTATAAGCAGCCTGGCTCAGTTTGCTTCTATCATGTTCTTTTATGTCGCATACAGTCTATTTTTATGGTGTTTACAGTTTACTGCTATACCTTATTGTTTTTCCTCTGCTATATGCCATCTTGGGGGATATCTGATGAAAAGGCAAGGCAAATATTTTAATGAATGAATACTCCCCCAGCTGTCACTTATTTCCTTGATTATTGCTGGAATGACAAAAAAGCTATATAAATAAATGAAAGGATACCGCTTTTAATTAAATCTAATGTCTTGCATTCCTTCTACAGTGCCAGAAAACTTAGTCTTGGGGGTTTCCCAGCCTATAGGGAAGGTTTTGAAAGTGCACAGGGAGCAGAGCATATCCCTCCCACTGATGTCTCTGCTAACAAAAGGAGTTCCATCAATGGAATAGTGAGGGACAAGAAAGGCCTCTCCCTGAGGAATGTGAGGAATATGAATACATTCAGGCATCCCCTGGGCAATGACAGCGCCCTGTCGGCTGATCCTTTCACTTCACAAACACCACTGGATTGCTTCTGACATGAATGAAGATGAAGAAGAAGCGGAGTGACCTTGATGTGTTATGCCCTTAAGTCTGTTAAAATAATTCATACAGTAATTTAAAAAAAGCTTGGGAAGTTTACTTAAAAAAAAATTTCACTACTGTTCCATTGCCCCACTAGTTAGTAAGCATAATACCGCTTTCCTTTTTCTCACAAGTAACTGAATTGCTACTTTTATCCACTTTTTAAAATTTGAAGGCTGTAAGTCTTTATCCTAGGAACGAAATGCATTTCTTTTTGGTCCACCTCAACACTTACAACAGAGCACATTACGAGGGGTGCTAATAAGTATTGATCCTTTCCCAGAAAAAAATTGAGCTAGGAAGCTACACATTGCAGAGTGTATTGGCCAATTTGTCTATATTCAATGGTGCAAAAATCAACTACAGTGGTGCCCTGCTAGACGCTTACCCCACATGACGTCGAAATCGCTTGATGATGACATTTTTGTGATCGCTATTGCAATCGCAAAACGATGGTTCCAATGGGGGAAATCTGCTTTATGTTGATTAGGAGCCTGTTTTTTTCAGCTCTGCAAAATGGCTTCCCTCCCTTCTCAAAATGGCTGCTTTCCGGTTCTGCAAAATGGCTTCCCTCCACAAAATGGCTTCCCTCCTTTCTCAAAATGGTTGCTTTCCAAATGGAAGCTTGGCATTACAGCAATTTTTAACAGCTGATCAGCGGTTCTCTATGGGCAATCTTCGCTGGACGATCAGGTATTTCCCCCCATTGGAATGCACTGACCAGTTTTCAATGCATTTCAATAGGGATTTTTTTTCACTTGACGACGATTTCGCTTAACAGCGATTTTGCTGGAACGCATTATCGTTGTCAAGTGGGGCACCACTGTACCTATGATTTTAACTTAACTTTCATTTTCCGGTCCAAAGTGAACATGGTGGCACATCCAGAAAAGTTTAATGTGGAAGAACATAGGACCATAATCAAGTTCCTGTTTCTCCAAGGGAAAGGTGCAAAGCAGATCCATGATGAAATGTCACAAACTATGGGTGACAGTGGTCCTTCATATGCAACAGTTAAACATTGGGTTGTCAATTTTTTTAACTGGCCATTTTGGTTTTGAAAGTGAGAAACCCAGTGGAAGGCCTGTTTCTGTCTCTGTGCCTGCAAATGTGAAAGCAATCCATGACATGGTCATGGAGGACCGCTGAATATCAGCCAAACGTATTGCTATATAACTGAGAATATCATGTGAGAGAGTTGGTGCCATTATCCACAATGACTTGGAAATGAGAAAGCTAGCAGCAAAGTGGATCCCCAAACATTTGACAACTGAACAAAAGAGGAAACGTGTGGAGTCACTGATGGCTCTTTTGGAACATTTTGCAAGAAATGAGACAGATTTCCTGGGCAAACTGATAACTGGTGATGAGACATGGATCTATGGTTATGATCCTGAGACAAAGGAACAGTCTAAGGAATGGAGGCACAGTCAGTGCAGAAGCAAACGGCAACAGTTTTTTGGGATAAGAAGGGAGTTCTACTGGTGAACTACCTCCAACAGGGTTCAACCATCAATGCAAAATATTACAGTACTGTTCTTTATTGATGAAGTTGAGGCAAAACATCAAGGAAAAACATCAAGGAAAGTTCTCCAAAGGTGTCATCCTGTTGCATGGCAATGCCTTGTCACACACTGCAGGTGAAACAATGGCAAAACTGACATCCTTAGACTTTCAAGTAACGCCCAATCCACCCTATTCTCCTGACCTGGCTCCTTCTGATTATTATCTGTTTCCCAAATTTAAAAAAAAACACCCAAAGGGACAACGACTTGGGAGGGTTCTGGAGGCAACTAATGCTGCAAATGAGTGGTTACACTAGCAGTTGGAAGTATTTTATTTGCAGGGACTTAAAAAGCTGCAGGACAGATGTCGCAAGTGCATTGACTTCCTGGGGGAATATGTAGAATAGTGTGGCAGTTAGAGCTTCATAGCTCATTTTTTTCTGGGAAAGGCTCAATATTTATCAGCATCCCCTTGTAGTAGCAGCATGAGGCATCATGTAAGTCTGCACTTGACCCATATGATATTCCTCTTCTACCGCTTAGTGAGGCCACACCTCTGTAACTATAAAAGGGAACTAAAAACATCACACTTGCATTATCATTAGAATGAAGTTGTCCCTCCTTAATGAAAGGCTTTCATTACTGGAAGAAGAATATAAATATGAGGAACTAGTTACTTCCAAGTTCTGAATTAGAAGGTCAATACTACAAGAGCAAAAGTGCTTATGAGGAAATCAACTTATAAAGAACACTTTCTCTCTCTCTTTATTCTCTCAAAGGGATGGTTTAGATATTTACAAATTATTCCAAGTGGAACAAACTAATTGTTCCTGGGAACATAGAACAAGGAAGAAGTAATGCTGGCATGGTGATGTCCTGGACACAGCCACAGCTTCCCAAGAGCAATTTGCTTTGCTTGACTGCTTGTGCATACACAAACGATACTGGGTCAGCCCTTGTTTCTTTCATCATTGGAATGCTCCATTGTACATGTCAATGTGTTACAAGAGATGGGGAAACTTTTATCCCTTTAAAATAAGTGCCTTGTTTCAGAATTCTTACAAACTTTATAATATAATTGCACCAGCCTCTAGAATACACACTTTTTTTTGCAGGTACGCATACACAACTTTGAAAAGTAACTGTTCAGGACTGATGGTTTCCAGAATGCCTAGCAATCTTGGCCAGGGGATTCTTGGAATGCTAGCCACTAAAGTTATGTTTCCAAACTCTACGTGGCACAATATTGGGGCTCCCTGTGTTGCTCAAACAGGGTGACCTCACATAGTTATTGTTGTGACATGCTGTTTTTATGACACAAAATGATTAATCAACTTATATAGCTAAATCTAACCAATTCTGCACTAGTGCAGCAAGCTTTATAATTGGGGCTCAGGTCATTGTTGTATACAGTAGGCTATGTATCTTGCTTGGCACATACTGAAATCTA